TCCCCGAGTACTAGGTTGAACTTCAGCTAAAAAGTGTCCAAATGGGGCTTACGATATACTGTTGGAAAGCTATGGACACGAGTATCATGACCTAAGTTGTATTTTTGACAAAATGTAAGCGGTTTAAGATCAATTCTGAAAACCGTTTTTTCTTCATACAAGAAATGTGAATCGTATTTTCGATCGCATTTCTAAACTGTTAATCAAAATGAGGCAAATAATATGGCGTTAGAAAGCTGCTGCAAAACCGCTCCTTCCACAAGTTGATAGTTTTCTCTAATAACCTATGGTTAAAGAGTAGAAAATCGTAAAATTTCGCAAACCGAATAGCCGAGTTCGTATTTTCGATGACATTTCTAAACGGCTAATCTAATTGAGGCAAATGATATGACGTTGCAAAGCTTATGAAAATGCGCTACTTTTTCATGTTGAAAGTTTTTCTAATTTTGAATGATTTAAAAGTAATTTAGAAAACGGTACAAGTTCCACCGAATTAGTATTTTCGAGCAAATTTTTTTAACCATACGTCCGAATGCAGCAAATGATATGGCGTTGAAAAGCTTGAACGAATGCGAATTTTTTTGGTATATATTGTTTCTCCCAATTCTTTACGGTTTTAAGTCAATTTTGAAAATGGCTAACAATGTGTTTTCGCAATAATTTCTACAGAATTTATCGGAATGGGGCAAATAATATACCGTTGAGAAGCTACGGAAAATGCGAAACTTTTTCATGCTGATGGTTTTCTCTGATTCCTAGCCGTTTTCAAGTAATTTCAAAAACGGCGAGATCGTGCGTTCTGTCTTTGTCGCGAAACAGATTCTCCGAAAATGCACCGCGTGAAGAACTTGAACTTTTCGGTATGTCTACCCGAACTTCACTCTGTTTTTCACGTGCTTTTTTCTCGTAGCTCTCCATCCACTCACCGGAATTGAGCAAGTGATATTCAGATGGAAAGCTGCTGTAAACACACAACTTTTCCTTGTTGATCATGTTTTCATACTCGCGATGGTTTTAAAAGTTTTTCATCTCAAATTCATTCAGTGTTGTAGTTAAACTTCCTGTTGTTTTCACGTTGAAATTATGTAACGTATTTTTGTTTGTAATTTGCTCATCCATTCATCAGTGTTACAATAATGATATTCCTTTTGTACAAACCTCTCTCACAATAAATTTTTTAACTTTCTCCGACCGAGGACTTGAACTTATAACAACAAACTTTTAGTTTTGGTTTTTTATTATTTTTTAATACAAAATACGCACCGTGTAGTACGTGAACTTCTGACAGTTATCAATCTGAACTTCTCTTGGTTACGTAAAAATTTCTGAATTTTTTATGAATCTTAATCTGAATTTCTCAATCCTTTTTTCATGAATTTTGAAGCGCTCTATTTTTTAAAGTTGAACTTCTTATTATTTTATTTTTGAACTTCTTGGTTCCATTCTTTAATAACGAGGAAAATCTGAGTTTTCTATAATCATCGAACTTCTCCATCTTTTTAATATGGTCTTCCTGGTTTTATTTCTTTAATCTTTTTTATGAAATTTTGAAGTGCTGTATTTTTTAAAAGTTGTACTTCTTGTTATTTTTTTGAACTTCTTCTTTCCATTCTTTAATAACGAGGAAAATTTGAGTTTTCTATAATCATCGAACTTTCCCATGTTTTGAATATCGACTTCCTGGTTTTATTTTTTCTTCATATTTTTTGTGAAATTTTGAAGCACTCTATTTTTACAAGTTGAACTTCTTGTTATTTTATTTTTGAACTTCTTGTTTTCATTCTTTAATAACGAGGAAAATCTGAGTTTTCTATAATCATCGAACTTCTTCTTTTTAATATGGACTTCCTGGTTTTATTTTCTTAATATTTTTTATGAAATTTTGAAGCGCTCTTATTTTAAAAGTTGAACTTCTTGTTATTTTATTTTTGAACTTCTTGTTTTCATTCTTTAATAAAGAGGAAAATCTGAGTTTTCTATAATCATCGAACATCTCCATCTTTTTAATATGGACTTCCTGGTTTTATTTTTTTAATCTTTTTATGAAATTTTCGTGTTGATCTGTTTTTCATACTCGCGACAGTTCAAAATATTTTTTTAATGCGTAAAAATGTGTTTTTAAGGTATACATAAAAACTTTTAAACCATTCATAGGAATATAGCATACAATATACCGTGTATATGAGCATCTTTTTCATGTACATAGATGTTACGAATTTTTGTCGTTTGTGAAAAGTTCTAAAAATGGCAAAAACAACGTCATTTTTTTGCCTGTTTTTACAACTTTCTCGGGCCGAGCACTTGAAATTCGAGCAACAAAATTTTTAGCCTTTGCCTTTTAATTCTTTTTCTCTTAATACAAATGCACACTTTGTAGTACGTGAACTTTTGACAGTTATCAACATGAACTTCTCTCGGTTATGTGAAAATATCTGAGTTTTATATAGACATTGAACCACTCTACCTTTTTTATTTGAACTTTGTGTACTTTTAGAAATGTGAAAATTGGAGCTTTTTTAGAAACTTTTAACTTCTTCAATATTTTGAATTGAACTTATTGGTTTTATTCTTTAGTAACTAGAAAAATCCAAGTTTGTGAAAATAAATATGAAACTACTCTGTTTTTTTCATTAGTATTGGTTTTATTCGAACTGCTCCATTTTTAAAAATTGGACTTCTTGGTTTTAATCTTTAGTATTGGGGAAATCTGAGTTTTTTGCAAACATCAAATAGCTTCAACTTTTTATTTTGGACTTCTTGGTGTTATTCATTAGTAACGGTAAAAGTCCTAGTTATACAAACAAAAAAACTGTTATTTTAATGTGAGTTATCTTGGTTTTATTATTTAGAAATAGGAAAATGTGTATTTTTATTAAGATTGAACTACTTTGTTATTTTAATTTGAACTTCTTGGTATTATTTAAAGAATCAGAAAAGGTGAATTGTTTATTAAGATCGAACTACTCTATTAGTTTAATTCAAACTTTTTAGTTCTCTTAGAAAATGCGTAAAATGCATTCCCCCTTTCATTCATTTTTCCTTTTGCCTTCAATGACAAAGAGAACATTCTTTTTCTTGTTAGTGTTTTGAAGTGATTTTTATAGACTTAAATTTTGTTTTGTGCTCTTTTCAAATTTGTTTGTCACTTGAAGTTCTAAAAAATCGCAACTCTCCGATGTTTCACCTTGCATGTTTAAATTATTTGAACTTGCTGAGATAACACACTCGACCTTCTCGAACACAACATTTTGACCTTCACAAAAAACAAATTAAAGCCAAAATTTTGACCTGCCAAGCAAGTACAATTTTCTCCACGTTTTCAAGAATAGCCAAAGCTACATCATCGGATCCGGATTCCAGAGCAAATGCTTTTCAGAAAGAAAAAAATACAACATAACAAGCGAGATCTAGCTAAAGGAATCAGTGTTGAGGTGGAGAGATGGAACTAGATGCAACGAAGGAACATCTGAATTCTAGAACGGTGATGAAGACCACCTGAAGAAAAAAAATCGGTAGTGGCATATATATAATTTTCTTTACACGTGACCGTAGCATTGGGACTATCATATTTATATGCAATATGGTTTTGAGGCTAAGGGAGGCCATCTCAAGAATACACAGGATGTGAGATCGCATATCCATGTTAATTTGCACCCCAAAAACAACACAAAGATTACACACACCCCGTTCCTGAACTCTGACAATCTTCCCGCACCTTATGTGACCATCTCCCTGCCTCTGAAATGACCATCTTCCTGCCTCTGGTGACCTTCTTCCTCCATCTATTCACGAGGGTAGCGGCACCAGGCATGGTTCGTCGTCCTCCCCGGTTTGCATGCATAGACCTGCCTCTGTGGTGAACTTTTTCATAAGAGTAGCTCAATCGACGAAACTTATGATGACCTGAACTTCTGAAGAATACACAAAAAATGCAGAAGATTCAGTGGGGGCGAGGTGATGCACATGACACACTTGACCTTCTCGAACACAACATTTTGCATGTTTAAATTATTTGAACTTGCTGAGATACACATAACACACTTGACCTTCTCGAACACAATATTTTGACCTTCACAAAAAGTTAAAGCAAATTTTTAGCATAGTAGTACAAGCACAACAGAACATTCATCGAATTTCTATAATTGTCATCTTTGAACTTCTGAAAAAATTGTAGCATAATAACATCTAGGTGCAAAACCAACAAAACTACAGGTGCAAAAAGAGTGGGCTGCAATTGAGTCATTGTACCTACAATTTTTGTTGTGTTTAGCAACAAAGCTTGTTCCTAAAACATCACACCGCCTAGTAGAGAGGAAACATCAATGTACGAAATGCTGGTACCATGATGCTACTAAAAATAAGCAGCAACAAGTCCAAGGCTCAAACAAATTAACTCCCTCACTCATTTCCAACCAAACCTCAGTACCACAGTACCTCATATATAATGCCACATAAATCAAAAGAAAATACACGCTCAAGTCAGGAACACTCCACATGCAGCAACATGTTTTTGTTCACCATGAATTGACAGGTTTTATACATCTACAGAAATAAATTGCATCAAAGCCACAGTTAAGATTACCAAAATATTCATAGCAATCTGGAAAACTACAGATGCTAGGCCGGACTTTACATCACCACAACATCTTCGTGTTCTTTGTTGTGAATACATATTTTTGTTCACATCTTCACAGAACACAAGACCATCTTTCAACAAAATGAGCAAGAACAATATAGTGACTGAGAAAACACAGAAGAAATTGACCCAAACACATTTCGAACCGTCCCAAAAATGAAGTCAGGACATCATCTTTATTGTGTCCTGCTCGCTCCTTTCCATAGCTCATGTCATCTAATCATGTAATTTAACAAGTGACAAATCACCAACCATATATCTGCAATGCGGACAATAGAATAGCATGGCAAGCAATACTAATGAGCAAGATTAGTAATTTTTTTCCTAAAAGGGTGGCAACTCGACATACAGGATGCAACCCATACTATGAACCACGGGGAGGAACGATCTGGGCCTCATCGGAGCATTTTGTGGCAGTGGGGATCAGGGTGATGCGGTGGTGAACATCCTTGGGATGTGTTGTTGAACGGCCCAAGGTGGCGGCGGTGCATGGTTTGTGTGGAGGGAGGCTGCGGCGGCGATTCGGGTGGAGCTGGCGTACATGACACGCGCGGGGTTCGTGCGGCGGCGCCCGCGGGCGGAGGTGGTTTGCGTCGCCGGAGGCAGGACGGGGTGGCACGCGTGGCCGGGACAGAGCAACGAAGAGGCGCGTGTGGCAGGGGGTCATCGTTGGAAGAGGAGCTGGGCCAGGCTGGGGGCAACCTAGGTGGCAGGGGAGGCGCGGTGGCGTACCTGAGGTCGGCGGCGGGGTCGCGTGCCGGCGCTTGGTAGCGTGCCGGTTCTTGGTGGTGGCAGGCGGCGGTGGGA